TACACTGCTTCAGTTACCCCAGGGTCCTGCGGACTCCCCTCTTTTCTTTGTTCCCAAGAAATAGGGGGACACTTGTGGTTGAGATGGGACACCGATCTTTTTGATACTTTGTCTATTCTTTCAGAATTGATGGATTGAACAACTTTAGTAGTTTAGCTGTTCTTTATGAAATGCTTCTGCCTCCCTGTCTGATAATGGCCGAATAAGAATGTTGCCCAAGCTCTGGTTTGCCTTTGGTTTTTTGGCAGTCATATGAACATAGGTCCAGCCTCCTCCTTCCAGTTCTAACTGTGCTGGTTAAATGAGATGGCACACACTCACTTCTAACCTTGCCCCAAGTCAAAAGCCAAATAGTACCCTCACTTTCACACTGTTGGGAAAAAGATTTGGGATCTGTGTGATAGACCTCCTGGGTCAAAGTTCCTACTTCTTTATTCTTTGTAGCCCGTTCTTTTGTGGAGTGCTAGGACAAAATTCTTGAGTATTAAACTGGTTCCCCCAGACACAGATGCCTCCTTACCTTCTCATTCTTATCCCAAGGAGTTATATTTTCTGTTGCTCCTATGTCCAATAAATAAAATCTAATATGAATAACATTTGCTATTATATACGTAGTGCATGTAGACATTTAAATGATACTAAAGCTATAGCACAGGGACAGAGAAAAAAAAATAAAGCCACTGACGTCTCTGTCCAGAACTCTTCCGGTACTGTTCAGGAAAAGCATCTGTTTAACAGGGTCCAACAACACCCAGTAGTCCACGTTGTCCTTTAAAGAGAGCTCTATGGTGGGGTCTGGTCCTCCAGCAGTCCCCTTAATCAGCATGTTGTCCACCAGAATTGTACCTGCAAACCAAACACAGCTATTTACAACCACGCTTTACTCAAAGCCTTCTTTAGCAAGGATTACATTTTAAACCCTACTGCCTCACACGTTTCTGCCAAGGCAGAGCACATTCACTATCGCACCAAGCATCCCAAAGCTGCAAATATCTATCTTCATTATGTTATTTGTCAGTAGTGTTTGGGGAAGATGCAGGCAGGGGGTGGGGAGGATTCCAGCCACCTTGTCTCTCTTTAGCAGCACTAAATCTCCCCCGTCCCCGTTCATCACTTTTCTCAGGATTTATCACTGAATTTTTTATCCTGAACAAAGGAAAGAAGTGTAACCGCAGAGCAGGATACAAATTCCTCTCCGTGAGACTTCTGATATGAAAAGAGAGATCTTGAAAATGAGAGAGGAGGAAGGGGGGGAGATGCTAAAAGAGCAGCAAGATTTCCCACAGTGAGAGGTGCATCTTGTTCTTACATGTCAGAGCAGATTCAGGAAGCACAAATCTTAATGCTACCTCGTCGACACACAGCGGTAGCAGCTCATCTCTGAGATGGGTCTGGAGCGCTCAACTGTAGTGACAGACTCTCATGATTTTATATTTTAATGCTTGGTTTCTCCGTCTCCTTCTTTTTAAAAGGCAGTTCTTGAATAAATATGGAAACAAGAGTGTGCTTCTAGCATTTCTTCTTTGAAAAAGGACCTCATGTGCTTTACAGATTGAAAGCAAACAGCAGGGATGCACTCAAATTTGTTTTTCCCCACACAGTAATGATCTCCCTGCCAATCAAGAGTGGATGATGGCTCAGAGTGGTCACTATCTGAGCTATCGCATTGCATGAACAGCATATAAAACAATGTGACTGTGAATATAAAGATGAGCTCTTCTAAACACTAGAAGACAATGGAAATATTCAGATATTGCTTGTCCTTGCCTTAGGACAGAACACACATCTTACGTAACCCGCAAATATGAACCTGGGCTTGAGAAAATGTCAGATTTATCAGTCACCTATTTAAATGTTTTTTTTTTTTTATCTGCCTAGGAAACTCTGAAAGGAACTGCCTTTCTTTGTAAGCGAACCGCTTTTGTTAATGCCCGTATTCTTCACACCTTCCTAAATTCTAGATGTTATCTTCTTTTTGTTTCTTCTGCAGAATTGTCACGATAACCAGACAGAAATGTCCACCCTAAACCGTATGTTTATCCTTGAAGCACATGTCTGTTTTTGCATCTGCACCCCAACAAGAGCTGGAATAAGCCCGAAAGATGCTCTCACGCACTGAGAAGGATGGCCAGCTGCCTCCTTCGGCCTCCAACACTGCAGTGTGTGCTTCTGCTTTGAAAAGCAGGTGCTGGTCTTTTGTCTTTTAACAGATGTATTTAGTTTGTTTTTTTTTTCTTAAAAACAAATATCCGTTTATTCTTTTTTTCAACCACCCTTGTGTGTTTGCTAACATAATTAAATGTATGAGACAATATCTTGAGGACAGAATGGCATTCTTTTCTTTTTGTCTTTACCATTGCCAACTCAGGGTTGGTCAATGTTTTTTTTTTTTTGGTTAACTTATTTTTTATACTTAGCATTTTCTATTATTGAAAATAGATTTTATACAATATATTCCGAATTATAGTTTTCTCTCGCCTAACTCCTCCCAGAACCTCCTCACATCTCCTCTCTCATCCAAACTCAAACCATTCTCTCTCTCCTTAGGAAACAAACAGGCATGTCAGAACAATAATAGACTAAAATACAACAACAAAAAACAAACAAACAACAAACTCGAATAGGACTGTGCAAGCAAGCAAAAGGAAAAGGGCCAAAAACAAGGCTCAAGAAACACAAGCAGATGCAGAGATATTCATGTTCACACACATGGGAACTCCATGAAAACACAAACTGGACACCATAATACATAGTCCAAAGACCTGAAAGGTCAGCAGCAAACAACAACAACAATGTCCTTTCAAAGCATTGTGATACAAATACTTTCCAAAAGTGCTATTGAGTTCATTTTGTGTTGGCCACCTGCTACTTAACATGGGACCTGCCTTTAAGAGTGTTCTGTGAACCCAGTGAGTCTCCACCAAAGCAAACTAATTTTCCATTTGCAAGTGGTTATCCTTTGGAGACAGCTTCTGGGGTAGTTATGGGAGCATGTGCTCACTTCCACTCTCATGGCTGCAACCCCATCTAACCCAGAACCTTGCAGCTCCAGTGCATGCTGCTGCAGTCTCTGTGAACCCCGCTGGGTTTACAATGTCTTATTTCCTTGGTATCATCCATCCCTTCCAGCTGTTACATGGTTTCTTCCGCCTCCTCTGCAGGGTCCCCTGAGCCCTGAGAGGAGGGATTTGATGGAGACAACCCATTTTGGATGGAGTCTTCCAAGGTCTTTCACTTCTTGCACACTGTCCTGCTGAGGGTCTCTGTATTTGTTCCCATCATGTAGGAGGAAGCTTTTCTAATGATGGCTGAGACACTGGTGAGTATAGCAGAATGCCATTAGGAGTCATTTAATCTCTACATTCCTTTAACAGACCAATAGTGTTTGGTTTTCCCCTAGGTCCCTCCCTGGCCTATTCAGTCTCAGGTGCTGGGCTACCCAAGTAGCTCTAGGGATGGAAGCTCTAGGTAGGTACCAGCTCAACTCCTCCATGCTCAATGAATCATGGAGGTTTTGTCTTCAGCAACTAGGCCGTATTATCTGTTTGTGGAGAGAAACCAAAAGCTTTGGCAATAGCCTGAATTGTTTAGGGATTACCATGGGACCCCTTTGACCAGCATCTGTTAGATGGAACTCATTCTAGAAGTGGAGGCTTCCTTTGGTCACAGGAGATGTTTGGGACAGGGACACATAATATGCATGCATGCATGTAATACAAAGACAGTGTGTTTAGAAGTATGGCTCACAACCAGATATCCCCTGTTCATTTGCGAGTCATTGTATTTCCTTAAGTAAATGGTTGTAATGCAAATGGGGATCACTCTCTAAAAATACCGAGGAAGCCTCAGGATGGAGGGGAGGACCTTTGTGTTTCTAATTAACCTAATTTTATGAAGCTTAAAAAGTATATTGTGCAGAGAGGAAATAATGGAGTGACTGGGCTCATTCCAAACTCTAATATATACATTTGCATAGAGCCTCCCAGATGATGCCATGATCAATTAATTACCCAAAGGTCTCCAACCGCTATGAATCCCTTCAGCTTCCCCAGTAGTGTTTCCCCAGTTTTACCCCTTGGAAAAATGGTACACTGCAAACTCACAGAATCTTTTGCTTTCTCTCGCATGTTATTCTACGAGAAAAACAAAACAAAGAAACAGGGAGTGGATCTCAAGATAATCAGACTAAAACAAGACTCCTCTTATGCACAAACCTTTTGTCCTATATCTTTCTGGGATGCTCACAGAAATCATCTTTCATCTGACTTTCTTTCTTTCTTTTTGGTTTAGAGACAAGTTTATAGGCCAGTTAGGAACTTGTACTTAGCATATCTACATGACACAAAGTCTTGTCGGAGGAAGTATACCTGTTTCTAGCAACTTCATTAAAAAAGTTTTAATAAAATATTAGTTGAATTGTGATTTAAACATTAGGAGGCTGTTAGCAGCCTGCCATTCTTTCTAAAGATGAATAATGATGCCTCCCCATTAAAAAGCAGCTAAATGAAAACTCATATATAAAAGCATAATGCTTTGCAAAATTATGCTTTTGCTGAAATTTAAATCATTTATATGTCATAAAAGAGCAAAAATCATGACAAAATGGAATAATTCACTAAAATGTACATATTTTTAGGGAATAATACATTTTTATACTTATTTTTACTTTATGTTACTTAATAGATAGTGGGCCAAGCATTTTGTAAAATTCCACGTACAAAAGTTTAGAAATAGAGAATCACCTCCGGAAGCCAGTGAGCATTGAGGATAGTTCAGCAGTTGAAATCAGCATGGCAGTGAGGAATGAGAACGAACCCCATGGAGCTGAGTCCATGGAACAGCAGTGCTACCTCCTCTTGCTAGGGTACAGCTCCATTCAGAGAAGCTGAAGCATCCTTAGACTGGGGCAATCTCTTCAGTAGTCACCCTGAGGCCTACCTCTTGCTTTCTTTTTTCTTTTTCTCGTGCCACAGCAACGTTTATTGAGAACGGGGAGGGGATCAGTCCTTCCTGGCCACCGCCTTCCTCATGCTGGCCAGCACGTTGCTCAGCTCCTCCCGCTTCTTGACGAACCTGAGCGCGCGCTTGTCCTTGGACACCTTGAGCAGCTCCGTGGCGCGGCGCTCATAGGGCGCGAAGCCGCACACCTCCCGGATCATGTCCCGCACGAACTTGGTGTGCTTTGTGAGGCGCCCGCGCCGCCGGCTGTGCCTCGGCTGGCTTACGTTCTTCCTCACCTTGTGGCCCTTGTTGAGGCCCACGGCCATGGGGTAGCGCAGGGCGGTGGCTGCTCCTCTCCGTTGGCGGCCGCGACGGGAAGGACGGCGCCGCGCGGAACCCTGGGATATCTCTACTTTCTGTAGGTACGGTGCCCTTGTGTGGCTAGAGCCTGTCACTTGCCTGTAACAGGAAGCAGGCGAGGAAGTGATGGGAAGATAGGTTCCCATGGAAGTGTTTACAGAGCGTGTGCTACATGAGCTTTGAGTGACTACCTCGGTGAGTTTCTCTCTTTGCCTGATGACTTTGATAGACCAGCTTAGGAACATTGGGGCACACATAGGGCCAGGAGCTGTGTGGAGCTATTAGGAACTATACGTGGCCTGCAACTGATTGCAATCAAGTCACTGAGGAATATACAGCTATAACCACAAAGAATAAGTAGTTTCCAGTGATCTGAGTAAGCTTGGCTGCTTCCTTAATGCTTCCTTAATCCTATGTTGCTGACAACTCTTCCATCACTGTCCTAGCAGGAAGAGTAGTGAAGGATGAGCCTCTGCTTGGTCTGGAACTTGACTGAAAGCTCCCATGGAATTATAGATGTTTATTGTTTAAAGCCACTAAGTTTTGAAACCATCATTGTGTAGTAATAGATAGTATAGGTTTTAAAGACAAAGGTCTACATTAAAAATCTTGGCTCCAAATCATACTAACTCTGCGAGGTTTAGCAAATTTCCCAGATTCTTATAATTTCCCAGATCCAACAGCAGGGCTGTTATGATACCTGAACATTATGAGTCAAGTTACAGAGCTATCAATTAATACTTTTCATCTATGCCATGGGCATTGCATAGAGATTTAAGCTTACAAAGGAGTTATTATTTTTCATTAAATTGTGAGTATCGTGCATGCTATTTTTACAGAGAGATGTAATATTTTTAAATCTGAGATAAAAGTATGAAATTTAGGCTGAAGAGATGGACCAGCAGTTAAAAATGCGCTGTAATCATGAAAACCACAGTTCAGATCCCAGAATCTACCCAGCAACTGGGGGGGGGGGTTCTTGCAACCCCCCTGCTCTAGCCTTCTATCTCAAAGGAATGGAGACAGGAGGAGTATTGTAGCTTGATGGTTTCAAGCCCAACTATACACACACACACACACACACACACACACACACACACACACTGGGTTCTGCTAGAAATACTTCCTCAGAGAATGTGCATAGAGTGACAGATGACACCACATGCCATCTCTTGTCCTCCAAATGACACTAACTCACACATGTACCTACTACACTCACAAAGACGTAATGAAACAGAGGGTCGAAGGTACATGGATGATAGAGATAGATAGATAGATGGTAGATAGATAGATAGATAATGTGTATAAAAACACAGGAAAATGGCCACATCTATGCAAAAGACTAAACAGAAAACAAGGACAGCTTATTTTTAATTACTGTTGAGAATCTGTCACAAGGCAAAGGATATTCTTTGCTGGTCAAAAAGAAATGCTAACAACCTATCAACCTAGCAAGCAATGGAGGTCATATTACTGAGGTCAAATGAGGTTAGGATTTGTTGACTGGATCAGGTGGAACAGGTGATAAGGCGTAAAGACCAAGTAATCACCAGCACTTCCAATTAGCAGACAGAAAAGTGAGAAAGGCTCACACCTTCCTAACCCTGCAAGACTATCATTTTTAGACCATCACACTGATGCCATCTGAAATTAAAGAACTGACATTTTCAAAACAGATGACTCGCAAAGGCACTAGAAATGTGACTACAAGGCAAGCCTTCTCTTGCTTTCGTCTTTCCTAATCTGATAAAGAAAGTAGAACTTAGTCTGTTCCAGAGGGAAAGTGAGGAAAGGGGGGCCAGGAAGGCAGGGGACCTAGAGGAGAGAGAGGAGATTCGCTCGGTCTTGGTCTTTTGCCCTCCTCCCATTTCTTTCCCTTGAGTCTGCAGTAAAGACTAAGGTGAGATGAGGTCTTCAGGGGCCATCCCCTCGAAGCCCTCCTGCTGCTCACCAAGCATGTGTGTTCCTTTACTCTGCTTCTCTTCCTCATGTCCCCCAACCCACAGGTTTTGACAGGCTCCCAAGTATGGGACACGGTCAATTCATACATAATTTGTGGACTTCTTCAGCGTATTTAATATCAGAAAAGGCTACAGAAATGCTGGTGAATTGATCTGCTGTAAGCATAGCTTCTAATGACTTCAATAGCTTCAATTCTTTCCTATAATTTTGAATTTCTGTTTGAACTCAAACTGTGTTTATACTGTAAATAGCTTAATGGGACACATTATACTCTCTGTTTTCTGATGGTTTCAGATTTAATGAAGCATTTCATATGGACTTAAAATACTTTATAACAAGATATACAGTATTTAAATATATAATATCATAGATGAATTTGTGGGAAAAACAATGTAATTTTGTTTCTAATAATTCTGAGCGGTTGTAGCTCTAAAATTAAATCCATTTCCTCACCTCTAAATCTATTCAAAAACTCAACAAAAGGCACAAGGTTCTTGTAACTACACTAAATGACAATTAGAAAAAACATCACATAGAGAGGTTTTATTTCACAGGTAAGTTGCTTCTACAAACCAGTCCTTGAAGGACTTATTAAATAAATTGTGTGCATTTTCTACTTGATTTCTAAGTATCCACGTATTAGGAAAGTCAACTGCTATCTTTTTAAATCACAGTATCCACTCTGGGAAAATCAATATGCTGAAGTCTGACCAGTAAAGAATAATAGAGCACAATAATAAAGAAGAGCAAAAATTTAGCTAGATGTCACAGAAGTTGCTGCCCAAGTCAAACAAACTGAATTCAATGAATTCTCTAATGACAAGTGAAGTTAAGTTTCTAAGCCTTTGTAAATTTTCCATACTAAAGATGAGTACCAGGTTAAAAATCAAAGTAAGTCTAATATGTTTCTTTTAAATATTTTAAAAAAATATTTTTCATTTGGTCTTTAAACCCCAGGTAAGCACTGGATGTCCAGTGTGAAGTTTTAATGTGGGTTCAGAAAACTTTATAGTCTTTACTACTGAAACTTCCATTTTCTTGGCTAACCCAACCACTAATTCTTTGTTATGCTCTGACACATAAGGCACTTTTCTTAATTTTCTATTGGGATGGTTCATTTTCAGTGTGGAGACCATAACTGATTTTGTAATCGACTTGGTTCAACTATTTCTTTGTTCTAGCAGTGTGCATATTTAATCAAGATTTTCTACATATATACTATATTTTAGAGAGGAAGCTTATTTAACTTTATAGAATACCAGCAGAGAATTTGCAGAGTCTATTAAAGAACTTTTATAATCTTCGTTCGACAATAATCCATTATTATTGAGAACACTACCAGAAAGTAATTGTATATTTTTCTATAAATATATTTCTATCACCAAAAATAAAGCAGTGATAGCTAGTTTATTTAGCTGCTCCTAATACTCAAAAAGAAAAAGATTTGTTTAAAATATAGGTAAAGGATATAAGTAGACACCTCTCCAAAGATGATTCATAACAGACCAAAAATGACTATGAAAAATTCTGGAACTTTATACTCAGGGAAAATCAAGCCAGAACTGCCGTTGAATTCCCTCTCCTACCTATTAGAATAGGTGTCAACACCACACCCAAAGCACTGAAGGACAAAATGTGAAGTACAGCTTAGAATGTGGTACTAGGGCTGAGTAGATGGCTCAAGACTTTTCTATAGTAGAAGCTTCATGATCTGAGTTCAAGTTCCCAGACAGCATGAACAAACCTGGGGACAGCAGCATGTGTGACCTGTAGCCCTAGAACTTTGGAGCCATACATATGAGGATGGTTGGGGTTTCCTGGAACCAGCTTAGTTTCAGGTTCTTTGAGAGACTCTGTGTCCAGGCAATAAGATGGAGAGTAGTGAGGTAAGAGACCTAATATCCTCCAGTTTTGGATTGTCCGTGGTATATATCGTATACACAGATATGTATATGATACCCCCCCTTTCACACACACACACACACACACACACACATACAACAATAATGAAAAGGAAAAAAAATGGGACACATATGAGAAACTGAGTGTAATGTGTTCATTAAATATAGAACTAGTTTGTTCAGATGAAAGTTCTGTGAACAGATAGCAGTTCTGGGTAAAACAGAATGAATGAAGATATTACCTCTGACTGCTATACCTGAAAATATTTATGATTATCAGTAATATTATGTGTATGTTGTTCCTCCTTTGACTCCACATACGTTCCCTTATTGGAAGAAGTACATGAAACAGTGTGGCCTACATGAAACAATGGAAAAATTCTTTGGAAGAGGATTCTTTGAATACATGACGTTGAATCCATAGAGACAGTTCAAATCCATACAAAACAATACCTACCTCTGGGAAGACAATGCACTCCCTTCCACTAAGAAACAGTCTTGTTGAAACAGGAGCGGTGGCAGGGCTGCGTCCCCGGCACCCGGCCGCCCGCATGGCTAGCTTATGCCCAGAAATAATTACACGGAAACTGTATTCTTTAAAACACTGCCTGGCCCGGATAGTTCCAGTTCCTTATGGCTAGCTCTTACATATTGTTCTAACCCATTTCTAATATTCTGTGTAGCCCACGAGCTGGCTTACCAGGGAGGATCTTAACCTGCGTCTGTCTGGAGCGGGAGAACCATGGCGACTCTTCCTCTAACCTTCTTTCTCCCAGAATTCTCTTCTGTATACTCCGCCTACCTAATTTTCTATCCAATAAAATGGGCCAAGGCAGTTTCTTTATTAATAAGAAACTATTCCCACATCACAGTCTAATCAAGCCTTGTGGTGCACACCTTTAATCCCAACATTCCAGAAGAAGTGGCAGGTAGATCTCTATGAGTTCAAAGCCAGTTGGTCTACATAACAAATGCCAGGCCAGCCACGGATACATAGTGAGACCCTGTTTCAAACAAACACCCCACCCTCGTGTAGAAGGTCCTTCTGTCTATGTGTTTCTTTCATTGGTTAATGAATAAAGAAATTGCCTTGGCCTGTTTATAGGGCAGAACTTACGCGGGGAGAACTAGGCTGTATGCTGTAAAGAAGAGAC